GTATATATATATATATACCAAACATTCAACAAAATGTTTACTCGGAAAATGCGGAATTAACATCTAGATAGTGTGTGTGTGCTTACCCAAGATTTTGCACCAAATTTGTTTTGTCCGTAATGATGTATTTTATATAAAACATAGTTCAAGGTTTAAGCCGTTTCTTTGCTTTTAAAGTTCTCAGGTATTGAATGGACCCTAACCCTACCAGAAACTAACTGGCAAGGCTGTAGATATTCCAGCATAAGATGAACACACACACATCTTTAAATATTTTCACTTATGGTATTGTTATTTATGTTTTAACCAACAGTGGAAAAAAAACAACATAAAAGAAATTTTCAATGAAAGTAAAAATATAAAGATCATAATAAATGTATGAAAGCAAAAGACAATTAACATATAGTGACAAAGAATGAAAGAAGAAGTATAATTATAATGTTGGTTAGATAAAGACCCTTGTCGGAAGGAAAAGAGTATTCTTAAAATTTATCTGTTTAAACTTTTAAGTTACTACTACTGCTCTCCCAAGAAAAACTTATTTCAGGTGTTAAAAAGAAAACATAATTTCTGATCGAAAGAGAAATATGCAGCTCCATTAAAAAAAAGTACAAAGGAAGAAGATTCCGAGCTTAAAGCCGAAAAACCAACTAAATCTTGAAAGTCACAAAATCCAGCACCCAAGATAACTTGTAAAAATAAGTTTGATGAATTCTCTAAGTTTATGTCTGTCTGGTGATTCTCTTCACACTTAAATTATGATGTTAAATAAGACTGTAACTTTTTTCCTTGTGAATTAATAACACAAACTTCCTGTATTTTTAAGAGAATGTGTGAATAACAACATGAAAGATGTTGAATCACGTTTTCGTTTTTTTATTCAACAGATAAAACATTTTAACTGAAAGTAGAGATGTAAAAATCATACTATGTATTTAGATAGTTTCAAAGTAACTTAGAACCTACAAGTTATAAGAAAATCTTTTGGGACATTTCTAATATTTCTTTGCATTTTCAACATAATTAACCAATCAGGTAATGAGTGATGGTGAATAATTTATACTTTTATTCACACTAGCCAATTAAATCTTGACATTTTAGTTTTATTAACCCTAACCAGTTAGGCCAAATTATTTGTATATTAAAGCTAATGAATTGACACCTAGTCAACCTGAAATATTCTTATACTTCACCACAAGGTGGATGATTAATGAAGTATAAAGTTCAAAGGTAGACGGCCATTTTTCCATTGTATTTCGTGTCTAGCAGTGTTAGTATATTCAGCACTTTTATAGTTACACTAATGAAGAAATATTCTGGTGTTTAATTACAGATTTGTAGTTATCAAAACATGTTATATATGTCATATTTTTTCTGGGAAAGAAGCTAGTGATAACCAGTTTATTAAATTTTAAAATGGTTTGTGGATTTAAGCTAGTTTACGTTGATACGTTACAAATTGTTTTCATTTATGTCCACCAGGTGAAGACCAGTGCTTTTGGTATTTGTGTTATATGTGTGAAAAGCATTTGTTTGATCTTCTCAATTAGGCAGTGTTGATTAAGGAGATAATTATAAGCCAATCAGTACTTAATAAGTTACAGAAAACGAAGTCTGTTCGAGAGGAAATTGAATTGCCTTCGAAATATTAAATGTAGTGATCCGTTTGATAGCGTTTTAGTGACCAAAATAGTTTATTTTTTAAGTTAGTAGCTATGCATTTTAGGTATAGTAAATGAAAAAGAACCTATTCAGACAATTTGTAAAGAACAAACCCGTATGCTTACATAAGTCAGTTGAGACTGAGCTGATCAATTTGACTGAAACCTCCCCCCTAGTACTAAATATATAAATAAACGGGAATGAATGACAGTATTTCTTCTGTAATAGTTGTTGCAGGAAATGAATTTTCCACAATTGTTCAAGCATCTTTACATACTGTATATTATGGACTGCTAATCAGTTAAAATGGTAATCCATAGTTTAAGTAACTGTGACGCTAATGATAAAAAGAAATTGTTACAAGTAATCTCTTCCATACTAATGTGATATATATATATGTATATTATTTTGAGAATGTAGAAGTTTTTATAATAGGAAACAGACATAAATGTGACTGGAATGAATAAATGTAAACAAAATCAACTCATGTCTGTAGATATAAACATTGACATGGTTGATTGTAACAGTGGAAAAAAATTACTAAAAAAATGAAAACAGCATCCATAGGTGCCACTCAGGTGGGGGTAAGGTAGGTGTCTCCCATAATTAATATAAATTATTTTGGGAACAAATATATATAAAATTTGCAAGTTGCATTATTTGAATGTTTTTTTTTAACAGTATAGGATATAATCAAGGCAAATTCTCTTGAAACAGACTGATCTTTACATTTTAACTTTTAAAAAAGGAAAGGTCACATCAAGTTGGCTGCTGGACCACCAATAAATCGCCCCCCCCCCCTCCTCCCATCTCCTATTGAAATCTGAAATGGTCCA